TGGCTTTCGTTTTGTAGCGAAACAGGCGAACGCAGGCTCGTTACGATCCTTAACCCTCAATTGCCGCGCCAATTTTGTAATAATAAATCCAGCTCGATAACGATTGAATTATTTGAACCGCGTTTCATTTTCCATTGAATTTCGATTTTCGTTGAGGCTGCTTTTTCAGGCTGTGTACAACTTAGGATCGACAGTTTCAATGTTTTCTAAATGTTTTATTTTCTTCGATTTTCTTCGGGAAAGTAATATTTTTTTTGCTAATTGGTCTATGATTACTTTTAGGGATTACATACTTTTTAAGCAATGCGATTTGAGTTGAATCAAAAGTTTGTATAACAGTTTTAAGATTGCTACGTTTAGAAGCGAGAATAATTTAAGAGGTCGAAGATTTAATTAATAGTTATTGTTATATAATTGTTGTTCCATCGTTAAAGATTTTCTGCGGTATTTTAATCGGTAAAACAACATCGAGAATTCCCGTAAAAATGTCATCCAATCGCTTCAATTGATAACGCGTCTCATAAAATTCGCCGATTTTCTTCGAGTCAGTAATAATTTTCTTACTAATTAGTCTCCAATTATATTCAGAGATTACATATTTTGCCTCGACTTGTCTAAAAGATTCGCACAAAAACTTCAAGATCGCTACCTTCGCGAGCAATAATTAATTTAAGACGTCGAAGGCCTAATTAACGCGCGTCGCAAAACAGCTGTTCCATCGTTCCAAAGATTGTCCGTGTTTTATCGCGCACGGCGGAACGGCGCAACACCGTGAATTCCCCGTAAAAACATCGTCTAATCGCTTCAATTAATCACATGTCTCATGAAATTCACCGCGCTGTCGCTTTAAACGCGAACGGGTTATACGCGAAACACGGTCTCGCGAACAGCATCGAGTTTCGCCCGGAACTTCCGGCTCTTCTCCGGCGGAAAATATTTTTACAATTCCGTTCCGGGAACGGGGGCGCGTTAATTCGTGAAATAAAATGTGCGCCGGCGAATACTTCACCGGGGAAATCAAGAATGTTAAATGCCCGCGAATGAAATAAAAAAGAATCACGCGGCCGCCGCTCTCCGCCCGCTTGCGTTCTTCCCCCGCTCGCGTCTTGCCGGCGACACGGCAATTTCTGTATCGGGAGAACTCGGAACTCGATTCGCGTGTACCTATGATATCACGACCGCCATAATATCTCGAATGACATAACGTCGCGAACGCGGCCAACTTTATCAAGAACGGCGAAAAGAAGTTCCCGCAATCGGAGTCGCTCGTGGGAGGCACTCGAGTGCTATGTTCGAAGAACGGCGAACGCTGCGAATTATCGACACTGATTCCCGCG